CCCCCACCCCCCAACCCTCTCCCACTCATCATCCTCAAACCGCCTCTCATCAGCATAAAAGACTCTTGCCGTGTCCCTTCTTGACTGTGAGCTCTTCACATGCTGTGTAATTGATACAGACATGATCAGGAGGAAGGGGGAGCTGGAGATCTCAGAGACCCATCGGACTGTCTCCCTTTTCAGTTTTTTTTTAAGGTGCAAGTGCAGCAAAAACGACTCATCGTGTGTGTTTTTTTCCCATCCTGTCACACAAAGCGATTGTCTGTCCCGTGCAATAAACCTCATCCAACATGTAGTCCGAGTCTCCACTGCAGAGCCACTGTCAGCTTTTTCTTTTTTGTTGTTGTTTAACTTTTCCAGGGAGAGAAGTACAAAGTGAGACAGCTGMTGGAAGTAAATGTTTTGAAACAGAAAGGGAGGGGTAGTGTTTCAAGGCCGCCTCTTTCACCTGACTTTTTTTTTTTAAATTAAAAAGGTTGTTTTGTGCAGCAGAGACAATAACAGGGCGGGCCTGTAAACTTTTACGGCATTTTCCTCGTCTCCGCTGCAGATGAGGCATCGCTTCCGCGGCTTCCGAGGGCCCCGCCCGGCTGCCTGTTTTCTGCCCTCCACAGGTCATAAATCAAACAGGTCTTAGGTGAGCTCACTCGGAGGGATTAGCTTAACTTATCCCCCTCGCATCTTGAGCAATTTTCAGGTGGCGTCTCCAAGCTCGTGTTCGCATGACGAACCCGCCCTGGTGAAGCTAAACGACGAGACAGAGGGGGAGAAACAATTCAAGAGCCGAGGAACGACAACACCAGGAGMCACGTGAAACTTATTAAACGGCGAGGTTGATAATTGTCTGCATCTCCTGCTCTGTGATTCTGCTGAATGCTGCAGTTTAACATGCTGAGGTGGCCCGCGTGCATGCCTCAGCTTATCTTACGAGGCCTGTTTATGAAGGAAACTGTCGTGCGGCTCAGTTAAAGTTTAGACAGGCGGGTTGTAAAGGTGTGAAAATAAAAAGTCACCTTTTTTTGTTCTGCATCGTTGTCATAAACCTAAAAAGCTTATTACTGTTTTAAACTTGTGTTTGTTCTGTCCTTAAAGGCGCAGTGTGTAGGATTTTGTCAATTCTTTAAGCCGAAATTGAGATAATCACTAATGACAATAATAAAAAAACATGTCTAATCATTGCAGACAAAGACTTTGTTTTATTATTTTTACCTTATAAAAAGCTGTTTATATCTCCATGGTCGCGGGTTGCCACTACAGGCAGCCGCCATCTTGCACCGCCATCTTGTCTACGAAGGCTCATGAAGGACAAACTGCGGTGGCGGCGTCAAAAACGGTTTTAGTTGTAATATTTGTTGTCTGTCATTGTAGCT